CTGTAATACTGAGACTGTGATTATGTGATTATGATACTTTGTTGTGACTTTCGAAGGTGGATTCCGTTTATGCATAATTGAAGGATTAACTTGCTGACAAATCTTTGGATTTTGATTGTTTTGAAGGACTTTTTTGAACACAAATAGAAGCACCTGTAACTTTTTTGTGTTACTAATTATTTGGTCATGAACTTTTGCTGGATTAGTTGTGCAACTGGCTTTACTTTTATGCATGTTCGGGTGATATTGTTTTGTTGCATCTAGTCTAATTGTCTATGATCGCCAATTTTAGAACTTGTTCTCCAGTTGTGGATAGTAAATATATGTATATGTTTAACAAATGATGATATCATGGCAGAATTCATTGAATAATTTTTGTAAGACTTGTTTTTGGTGTTATATGTGGTGAGCATTATTCAGAAGATAATTTACTTTTTTTCTTTTGCTGCAGTTGACAGGCAGCACCAAGGCATCATATGCAACTCACAAGTTGGCAAGTTTGTCTCGACCTTTCAGGTGCCTTGTTTTGTTGTTTTTTCAGGCGATACACTTTGTTCATTTTTTTCATCAAGTTTGCTCATTGTAAAATTGCTTTTGTTCTACAGTTCAAGACCTGCTGGCAACGATGTCATTGGAATTGATTTGGGTACTACCAATTCATGTGTTTCGGTCATGGAGGGAAAGGTGAGACTCCTTCTCTTAATTATTTTCAGACATGTATTTGCTGCATGTTTTTTTTCCTGGACTAATATTTATGCTCTTCCCAGAATCCCAAAGTTATTGAGAACTCTGAAGGAGCTCGAACAACACCATCTGTGGTTGCTTTCAACCAGAAATCAGAGCTTCTTGTTGGTACACCAGCCAAGCGTCAGGCTGTGACTAACCCAACTAATACCCTTTTTGGTACGAAACGTTTGATTGGTAGGCGCTTTGATGATGCTCAAACACAAAAGGAGATGAAAATGGTACCCTACAAGATTGTTAGGGCGCCCAATGGAGATGCATGGGTTGAAGCCAATGGGCAGCAATATTCTCCCAGCCAAATTGGTGCTTTTGTTCTTACCAAGATGAAGGAAACTGCTGAGGCTTACCTTGGAAAGACTATTTCTAAAGCTGTAGTTACTGTTCCAGCATACTTCAATGATGCTCAGAGGCAAGCAACAAAAGATGCTGGTAGAATTGCCGGTCTTGACGTCCAGAGAATTATCAATGAACCCACTGCAGCTGCACTTTCATATGGCATGAACAACAAGGAGGGTCTCATTGCAGTTTTTGATCTTGGAGGTGGAACATTTGATGTGTCCATTTTAGAAATTTCTAATGGTGTTTTTGAGGTATGTAACTTGTTCTTTCCTTCCATCCTTCTTAACCTATCATTAGGAATTATAATAGAAATGTTCGCCGATAACATCTTTTTCAGGTGAAAGCAACAAATGGTGACACTTTCTTGGGAGGAGAAGATTTTGATAATGCCTTGTTGGACTTTCTAGTGAGCGAATTCAAAAGAACCGAGAGTATAGACCTTGCAAAGGATAAACTTGCCTTGCAGAGGCTTCGAGAAGCCGCTGAGAAAGCAAAAATTGAACTTTCTTCAACTTCACAAACTGAAATAAATCTCCCTTTCATTACTGCTGATGCATCTGGTGCAAAGCATTTGAACATCACATTGACTAGATCTAAGTTTGAGGCTTTGGTAAATAACCTGATTGAAAGGACAAAGGCACCATGTAAGAGCTGCTTGAAGGATGCTAACATATCTATCAAGGATGTTGACGAGGTTCTTCTTGTTGGAGGGATGACTCGTGTACCAAAAGTCCAGCAGGTGGTTTCAGAGATCTTTGGAAAGAGTCCTAGCAAAGGAGTAAATCCAGATGAGGCTGTTGCCATGGGAGCAGCCCTTCAAGGTGGTATCCTTCGTGGAGATGTTAAAGAGCTACTACTCCTAGATGTAACTCCTCTATCTCTGGGTATTGAGACTTTGGGCGGTATCTTTACAAGATTGATCTCCCGCAACACTACAATTCCTACCAAAAAGAGTCAGGTAATTGCAATTACTCATGACACAATTGTTTCCTACTTGCCAGATTCTAAAAAAGTTAATTTGGTTCTATCTATAGTAATGTAACATTAATCACAATTATTTGCTTAATCAAATCTACCTCACCCTCTTCCAACCAACAAATAAAGCAGGTATCTTACAGTACAGACATTCCAGGGGTAATTAAGCGAACACATGCAATAACTAAATTACTCTTTTTTTTCACCTCAGATGTTTATCCCATTTAGTTCTGTTTAATGTAACAAGTGTGTTCTAAATTTTGACACCATTGTTTCAGGTGTTTTCGACAGCAGCTGACAATCAGACTCAAGTGGGTATCAAGGTGCTTCAAGGTGAGCGGGAAATGGCTGCAGACAACAAAAGTCTTGGAGAATTTGACCTTGTTGGCATTCCTCCAGCCCCAAGAGGTTTGCCTCAAATTGAAGTCACATTTGACATAGATGCCAATGGTATTGTCACTGTCTCTGCCAAAGACAAGTCCACAGGAAAAGAACAACAAATCACCATTCGGTCATCAGGAGGACTCTCAGATGATGAGATTGATAAGATGGTCAAAGAAGCTGAGTTGCACGCACAAAGAGACCAAGAAAGAAAGGCTCTAATTGACATTAGAAACAGCGCAGATACAAGCATATATAGTATTGAGAAGAGTTTGGGAGAGTACAGAGAGAAGATTCCTGCTGAAGTTGCCAAAGAGATTGAAGATGCAGTCTCAGATTTGAGAACGGCAATGGCAGGGGAAAATGCCGATGATATCAAGGCAAAACTGGATGCAGCAAACAAAGCCGTGTCCAAGATTGGGCAACATATGTCAGGTGGTTCAAGTGGAGGTCCCTCTGATGGGGGTTCACAGGGTGGTGAACAGGCTCCCGAAGCAGAATATGAAGAGGTCAAGAAGTGAGGCAACTTAGGCTGGGCTCTGTAGCAGTTTTTTTTCTTCATATTAAACATCACATAATTGCTGGAATCAATACAAGGTTGCCTATTTTTGTATTTGATGTTTAAAGCCATTTTTTACTAGAAGGCTTCTTATGTTGTAGTGCTTTTGGAGTACTGAACACGGCTGTCTGAATAACATGATTGAAATTTATTCATAAGAATTTATCTGCCATTGATTGGTGGTTAATATTATTTTGCACTTTCATTGTAGACTTGCATATGTTTGTTATTGTTTCACAGGAGAAAAGGTATACATTACTGTCATATTTTGCCAAGGATGTTGATTGTTTCACATGTGCAAGAAATTACAATTACAAATAGTACTTACATTACACTTGATGCTGAGTGTGTTGACGTGCTAGTCTCAAAGACCATAAGTGCTAGGGTAGTGGTGCAGCTGGATCTGTCATTCAGCTTATGGTAGTCGTGAGACAGACATAAGGAAAATTGGACGTGCTTCTTTTTTAACCATAAATGTTTCTTTTGCATCACCACATTTTTTTTTGCCATAAAGGGATAGTAGAACATGGGTGTTGAAGAAAGAGTTTGGATTCTTAATTAAAGTAAAAGTTAAGAAAGCATCATAAGCTCAACCAGTAACCACCAACTCACCAGGAAAGAGACGGTTTAATGACAATAAGGATGATTTGTGAATATGATCTTTGTCATATGATCATGTTATGTGCTTAATTAACTTAGGAAATTTGATAACTTATTTTGACCATTACATTACAGTGTATTGCTTTTGCAAGAGTTACTCAATCCGTCACTTTATTATGTCTTACTAGTTGGCTAGTTGTTTAGTGATTTGAGGATCACTTCATATTTCTTCGGATAATTTGTCCTAGTTTCTGTTCTTGAAGCTGCTATAGAAATAAAAAATTCGAATGATGGAAGGTTATAACTGATAGTTACAGCCCTATATTTGGCAAAAAATGCCACCAAATCTGTGAAGATTTAGCCATCATTATTTTCCTATTGAAAAACTCACATCCATTAATCATGAGACTTGTGGTTATCTTCCCATTAGAGTTTATATTCTGAATAAGCTGAATATCCTTCTAGATGACATGGTTGTAAGGTAGAAATACAAACAAAATACTGAACAATTTGAATCAAAAGATAAATAATGAAAAGGTTGTTAAAAATCAGGATCGTCTTTGAGGGTGTGCAAAACAACTTATAGTACAGGGCCTTATACTTTTTCATGATTAAGTTATGTCTAAAAGGACCTCTAATAACATATTCAACTGTTAATTTATAGTTAAGTAGGGTCTTATACAAATATTTCATAACTAAACGGAAGCTAACTTTATTTCTTACCTAAGACATTTCACAAGTTTGAGACGACTTTGTTAAAAGTGACTGATGTGACATGAAAAGAAGATTGGAAAAATACTTTTTCTGTTTCAAAATGACTATCGTTTAAGGTTCTTGCACAAAGATTAAGAAATGCAATGATATTGTTATAATAATTATTAATGTTATCTATAACAATTCAATTACATGAATTTCCAAAATTGCTCTTACATTATAAATTATTTACACTAACAAAAGAATATTTTAATAATTAACTAATGTTTATTTTTTTCATTCACATTTTCAATTAGATCATGAAAAGTGACATTCATTTATCAATCTTCATCAATTAAACTTCAAAAGAATCTCCGGTGTGGAAATGGAGGAGATGGGAAAAGAATTCTCAGAGGAGGAAGTGCAGAGAGCCGTTTGAGATTGCGATAGTTCAAAAAGTTACGGTCCGGATGGAATAAACATGGGGTTCGTCAAAGAATTTTGGGATGAAGTTAAAGGAGACTTTCTTAGAATGTTGTTCGAGTTTCATGAGCATGGGAAAATTGTTAGATGGACGAACTCATCATTCATAGTGCTAATTTTGAAGAAGAAAAATCCTTTAAAATTGGACGATTTTCGACCAATTTCTCTACCCGGTTGTATTTATAAAGTGATAACAAAGGTACTAGAAAATAGGCTTAGAAAAGTGATGAAGTCAGTAATTTCAGAAATGCAGTTAGCATTTATTCCGGGGAGGCAAATTCTGGATGGTATATTAATCACCAATGAAATAGTGGATGAAGCGAAGCAGAAGAAAAAAAAAGTGATTTTGTTTAGGGCGAATTTCGAAAAAGCATATGATTCAGTATATTGAAATTTCCTTAATATGATAATGGAGAGGATGGGCTTTCACCTGAAAGGGAGAAGGTGGATTTTAGAATGTTTGAAGTCGTCAAAAGTGTCGATATTGGTAACGTGAGTCCCACTAAAGAATTTAGTGTGGATAGAGGCTTGAAGAAAGGAGATCCACATTCTCCTTTGTTGTTTCTGTTAGTGGCAGAAGGCTTCAACCTTCTTATGAAAAGAGCACCGGAGTTAGGAAGCTATACTGGATACAAAATTGATAGTGACAAGGAAATATACACACTATAATATTGTAAAGGTATACATAATTTTTCTTTCACATATAAGATTAAATATGTTTTTTTAACTTGTGTGAAATATCCAAAACATTTTATAATTTAAAATGTACGAAGTATTTCATTGTCATCTCAAATATTATAATAAAATATAAAATAAATATATATTTGATAATTTAAAGATACGTAATATGAAGTCTAAATGTGATTTGATTTTTATGAAATTGTTAAATATTTTAAACATAACAAGTACGAAACTGTTAGTCTAAGATTTTTAATTGAGTGAAAAGTCAATGAATTGATGGATATAGTTACGTTGATATTATTAAGTGTCAAACTTAAATAAAAACTTTGATATATTGACTGTATTGACTTATTAGTTCGACTGACATGTAAATATAGTTGAGGTCAAAAATGGTTTGGAAGAGTCTGAGGAAAAAATTCACAAGATTATGATCACTCTCTCTTCTAAACATGTTTAGAATCTTGAAAGATCATATAACAACCCTTCAATACGACGTCAAAGTCGACACTTTTAAGTGTTAAGGACTTAGGATATTTTCAAGTTCAAAGACTATGTAATGTGGAGTTAACCTTCGAAAGCTTCTTGAAATGGCACGTCCACTGTCTAAAAACCTCCCCATCCCTAGAACAATGCTACAAACTCAGAAGAACAACCAGTCACATTGACAATTGATCATATAGGAACTTCAACTTCTGTTGGAGATATGCCTACTATCATAAGTTAGGTAACAACATCGACTATATCACCATAAATAGTGGTATCCTCACTACAAGTAACAAGTGCGCCCGCTACCCATATGGCTACATAAAATATGATAAAACCAAAGGCATCATTTCCCCTTGAGTTTCACGTTACCTCTAATTGACAGGGAACAACCTTATGGCATGACAACTGAAATGATGGCAAACCTGTACCTTAGTGCATTTATGTATGCATATAATGCAACGACAACTACATCACATGTTAATATATACTTAGCATTAGGGTCTACTGTTAGTAACATTGGTTAAATGGCACAACCACCAGGAGGGTTGGGATATATTCGTCCAAGTATGCCTTCCTTAACCAATAATTCTCTCCAGTCAATAAGACAACAAATGGATGAGAGTAGCCACAAAATGGTTAACATGCTTACACACCAAATAGGCACAATGTCCAATCCTCTAATTCAAAACATTAATCACAGTTACCAATAATTGGCACACTAAATGGGTCGAATTGCTGACTTATTTGGCGCTCCTCAAGCGCATACTCAGCAAGTTCCTAATAACCAAATAACACAATAAGCAATACCTATCGAAACACCCATACCCGAGGTAGTTGAAGGTAATGCAGGCCAAAATGGCCCTGAGGTACTATTGGTGCACAGAAACCAAGATGCTGAATAAGTACTTAGATATGTCTAACAAAATAATTTGGAAGGGGGAGGGGGAAACAATATAACTAATGTGGTCGAACAAATTTTGACCCAAAACAGCCTCAATGTCGGTCTACATAGGCCAAATTTTATCTCTGCATTAACTGATTATGTATTGCAGAGTGAATTACCAAAGGGTTGGAAGATCCCAAAGTTAACTAAGTTTGTAGGGGATACTAATGAATCTATTGTCGAACATGTGACACAATATCAGTCAGAGGCAGGAACCAACTAGAGAGGGTATTCCATGAACAATTTTACATGGTTTGAAGATGAAATTCTTCCCAATTTCCTTGACTAAAAATTATGTCACATGGTTTATGTTCTGGACTGGGCCCAGGTTTTTCCAGACAAGCCCAACCCAATTGTACATGGGGAAGGCCCCAACCAGCCCAACAGGGCGGCGTCGAGGACATGACCTCTGTCGACCAGAGGCTGCCCTCTCCAAGCGGAGCACCTCATCCGTCGGGTAGGAGCTTCCTCCCCGTCGGGCAGAACAACGTGTCCTCCACACGTTCTCCACGTGCTCCCCTCCGCGGGGACACGTCCTCATCCAACTACCCACATCTGCAAGAGTTGGTCAACCCACCTTCCGGAGATCACGAGACGGTTGAACTAGAGCGAAGACCACATGTTGGTCTTCACTACGCCACGTAAGCCCTAGCAATCACCTGGGTTGGGCCTGACAATCCAGCCCAACACAAGTGACCGTTGGCCCTGTGCTGGGGTCTCTCTATAAATACCCTCATTCGCAAGAGGGTCAGGTATTCAATTCTCTATCTCTCTTCTGTATTTGCTCTCACTCTGGTCTATTACTCACTTTGGTATCAGAGTGTCTTGCAGGTACACCCCCTTCCTCTTCCATACCTCTAGTGAACAGGCGGCAGATCAACGGCGCGTGGCAGGCCACTGACTTCCTTCTGATCAGGTCAGATCCGTTTACCACCTTACCCCCACGTTCCATATGTAGTTATAGCCAACTAGAAAGGGTATCCCATGAACAATTTTACATGGGCCATTCCAAGATTAGCCTCAAAGATTTAGCTAGTTTGAGGCAAAAGTTGACTGAATCGATATACGACTACCTCAACAAATTTAGGATAATGAATGTAAGATGTTTCACTTAAGTGCATGGACATGAATTAGTCGAATTATCCGCAAGGGGTTTGGACTATTCCATTAGGAAGAAGTTAGACACCTAGTATTTAAGAGACATGGCTCAAATGGTAGACAGAGTTCGACAAGTCGAATGCTCAAAAACTGAAAAGGCTAGGTCAAATAAATACCATTAAAAGGAAAAATTAGCCTACATTGAAATAAGGTAGTTGAGGATAATAAGAGAATAACCTAATTAAAGGGAATTAGGTTTTAGTTTAAATTGAAAAGGCGAGGGCTGGAACTTTTACAATACATATTATTTTGGAACAAGAGAGAAGAGGTAAGAGAGGTAACCTAGGTTTGGGAAGAAAACATAACTTTGAAGAGCTTAGAGCTTGCTTTGTTAGAAATCTAAGGTAGGGGAGATTACTCTACTATGGGTGTATATTGTGTGAAGGGTAGATGGATCCTGACATTCTTCTAGGTTTTTCTTTTTTATTCCATCATTGTTAATATGTTCATGCGTTCTTGATGAAAATAGTGTAAATTACATACCCAATTGTTGTGTGAGGGCAAATACTCACAGGTAGCTACACTTGTTTCAATGATGTCAAAACTTAGATTGATAGAAAAATGTACTTTGGACGGTATCATCATGTCACATATGCATGTCTTATCCCTCGAGAGTCAAACATTCGTCAAAAACATTATTGATACATATAGAAATGGCTAAATCTATGATTCATGTAGGGTTGGTCAAGCTTGTAAAGCTTACTATGTTATAGAGTTCCTAAAAAATGACTTGATACATGATAATAGGCATTTTTGCATATTTTAGGGTTTTGAGTCGACTCAAAGCTAGCTCCGGTCGACTCATACAAATAGTTTTTTTTAATGGTCTACTCTCAGGAGGGCTCACGTCGACCCTCCGGACGACTCATACTGTGTCCATTTCTATTTGCCTAAATCTGCATGCTTTGCGTTGATGCATGACCTGCTCCGGTCGACGCAAAGTTCTGTTTTTTGCACAATCAGTAATTCAGGTAAGCTCAGGTCGACACTCCCTTCTGCATAGGTCGACCGCTCGCTTATCTACAGTCAAAATTTTGTTATGTGAAACAATCTTGGTGTTTATTATGTTTGTTAATCAGTTATGTCTTGTATATAAAGTGAGTTTTGCTCTTCCTTTACAACCTAGAAAAACAAGAAAAGTGAAAATAACATACTGATTTGTTCTCATCATCTTCATAGCATTTTCTCAACAACTACACATAATCATTTTTGTTGTGCATTCCGCTTGTTAGAGGTGATAACATCCAAACATAGGATTGGTGTAATCTGTTTTGGGTTGAGTAATCAGTAGGTTTTTCTTGAATAAAATTGTTAGGGTTTTTTCCTTCAAGAATCTTGGATTTTGGGGGGTTTGCACGAATCGGTCCATCACAGATTCAACTGAGCGAAGGTAATCGAAGAACAGGTGGTTCTATCGGTTTAGTAGCGGTAATTGGAGGATCGTGAGTGGAAGATTCGAGTACGACACGTGGGTGACTGAAATCAGCCGGGCAAGATTTGAAGACCGTGGGGTTGTTCAAAGGGTGTGCTGTAGTCGGAGGTTTATTCACCACGCTCGAAGGACTTGATTCAACTTGAATCAAGGGAAGAGAAGAAATAGGCTCTATATCAACAAATTGTGTTTGATCGTTTGATCTCTATTTTCTTCTCGTGTAAACATTGACCAACAAGTTATATCTATATATATATATACAGGTCTCAATTCTATTGTTAGAATTGAAGGCAGATGTACCCCGAGCGAGGACGACGGGGGAACTGCCTCAACAAACTGGTGTTCTATCTCTTTTCTTTTAAATTGCTGAAATTCTGAGTTTTGAGTGCAAACAATTGTGTTAATCAAATTCTGATTTGAGTAGTGCTAAATCAATTTTTAAGCTGGTTACAATCCTTGATTGTAATAGAACACTTGAGCACTTTACTCTCATATTAGAATTCACTTGCAGTGCCTTGCACTCCAAGTGTTTGACCAATTGTGTGAACTACAAACAATTGTGCTGTCTATGCAAATTGTCTATATTTTTAAAGCATTGGAAATAGTCAAACCATACAGTGAATAAAATCTGATTGAAGTGTGATCAAATAGTGATTCTTAAATCTCGTTTCATCGGATTCCATAGGCTTTACGCATATCTGTTTTTTTTGGTAAAGGTTCGTTTTAGACGAATATAGTTCCTCGGCCGCTTCCGCCTAAAACATTTTTAAAAACCAATTGTTAGTAGCGTCGACTCTGTTTTAAACAAGCGATCTATTCAACTCCCCCTTCTAGATCTGCGCCATCGTCTAACAAGTTGTGATTCAGGATTTGATATGTGTGTTATGACATGATTAATTGTTTATGAAATTGATATATGTTGTTAAATTCACGAGATGATGTGTTCGGGTGTTACAATATGAACTAGTA